TATTTCAAAATAAAATTCATTAAAATCTATCTTTCCCTTTATTTCTCTCCAAAGTACATGTGCACGCCTAAAATTTAGTTTGAATTAAATGTTTCAAAGATCAGAAAATATTTCCAAAAATAGGTAAAAGTAAACTACTAGAATAAGAGGAGCTGCAACAAGGAGGGAGGGAGGATTCTCTCCCCTTCCCCTTCTATTGCTTTCTTAAATTTAAGATCAGCATTTGAATTATTTAGGTTTAATATTTTACAAAATATCTTGTCTTTTATTTACTACAATTTTATGTCGTTGAAATCAGGTGTTAGCAATTTGAATTCGGTTAAGTAACTTTTACAATTTAACATTTTAATAATAACTTTATGAAACGTTAAATCTACGTTGTGTAAATGTTAATCTTACAGTTATGGAAAGTGGGGAACTCAAGAAACCAGACGATGAGAGAAACAGAAAGGAATGGACGAAGAAGGACATCGAGAATAAGGAATAACAATAACAATAATAATAATAGGAAAGAGTAAAAGAAAGAAGGGAGAAGATGAGTAAAGGATGGCCCACTTCATCGAGTGGCTGGCCGTAAAAGGAGGACCAGAATGACGTTGGCATGTCTGCCTCGTAAGGGCGCCTCCCATCGTCTGGGCCCCACAACACTTGATATCGTCCCGTTCTTGAGCGATCGTATTTACAGTAAAATATAAATATAAATATAAGCATAGGGGACGAAATTAATGAAAAAAAAAATTAAATTATATAAATAATAATTAAATTTTTTAAAATATTATAATTTTAATGAAGTTTTTGAGAATTTTTATTTTATAAATTATAAAAATTAAAAAATAAATTATAACTTATCAAGTATAATTTTTATTATTAAAAAAATTATTAAAATAATAAATCTTAATTACAATTTTTCTTAAAAAATAATGAATTTTATTTAAAGAATAGTAAAAATTAACTGAAAATCACAACTTATCAATGAGGATAAAATGATATCGTAATTTAAAATTTATTAATAAAAAAATTTAAAAAAATTTTAGTGAAATTATAATATCTAGAAGGATTAAATTATCATTTATAGAATTTAAAAGAATTTTATTACTATTTTGTCATTAATAAAATTTAAATGAATTTGAGATTTAATATATATATATATATATATTAAGCTATCAAATATCTTATACTTTGTATTTATTAGATAATAATTTTTTTAAAAAAATTTAAAGGTCTAACATAATGTAGAAAAATAAATTAATAAAAATTAAATTTAAATGATCATCGATAATCAAGTTAAACCTGTAAAACTAAAATTTTCATTATCTTTAAAATAAAATTTAGAAAACCTTAATGAAGCCAACCCAGCTCTTCTAATTTTTTTAATAAAATCGATTACATCTAACATGTAATTTTCGTACAGGTATGTTCCCGAATTTATTCATAAGTTAAGTTACACGGAATTTGCAATTACTTTACATGAAATGCCTTGAAGCTTTCATGAAAATTAGGGTCTTTGACAGCGAAATTTCCCCATGTTCTTATGTTTGCATGAAATTATTCATTGGTATAACAAAACATTTGAAGAAGATTGGGTTCAAGCAAACAAAAAAATTCACACTCACTACAGTTCGAAAAACATCATGATCATTGTTGAAATTCAAGATCAATCCCACATACGAATGGAAACAAGCTAAGGTTAAATGATTAGGGAATGCAGCAAGAAGAGGGTGTTTTCCTTTTCAAATTTCATCACTGGACAGTCGATTGCCATTTGCTCTTCCATCAAAGCCATCCTTCACTGCTGACCATTGCAACGAACTCCAGTGATTCTCCAATTAGACAAGGTGTGCAGAGAGAGAGAGGAAGAGAGGGTGTTTTCTTTTTCAAATTTGGTTTGTTCAACACAAGGGCATATTGGTCATATATTCATATTGTTTTATTAATATTTTATTCAGATTGGTCCTTTGATTCAATTTGATCCTTGGATATAATTTTGTCTTTCACTTAGCGATTTATTAGCAATTCTCCCATCAAATAAACAGACTGCGATTTCATGGCAACTGAGAACGAGTCTTCCTGTGCTGCAACATGTTAAAATAATAAATAATGATTAAAGAAAGGCCCAACAGCGCTGCTTTGAATTGACCGCGACTCTATAGAAACGGCTTTCACAGTTTAGATATTCAACATTTGATAAAATGATCCTGGTTTTTTTCCCAGAAAAGGTATTTTCGAATAATTAAATAACGCGTGATTCATTTTTTTTTATTTTTATCAAAGAGTATTCATATTACAGGACAATGAGCTACTGAAATTATATTCCTCAATTGTTGGATTTTAAAGTTCTAAATGCATATAATCAATTTATCAGACAATTCATTCTCATTGGTCATCACTTTCTATGAGAGCACAAGCTAACAAAAATTAATTGTAACTTATTAACAAGTCAACAGTTTTTATAAATATTTTAGAATTAGGGAATCAAACATCGCGTGACTTCTTGGTATTTATTGAGTAAGAAATAAACAAGAATCTTCATAGGAATCTTCATAAAAGGAGCTTAAATAGCTAAAATCACAGCTATCAGCCTTCTTCAATGGTTACAAATGAGATTAGAGACGCTAATCCAATTCTTATTGATTTCAACCCGGTAAAAATAAAGTCCTGTTATGAGATTTTTAAGCGTACTATTTTACAATCTAGCCCAAAAAAATTATACTCCATTCGGTCTTAATATAAGATGAAATTAACTAACGTTACACTTATCAAGAAATTTTAATTGTAACCTTAAAATTAAAATTTTAAAAAAATTTATAAAAATTTTCAATTTTATCCTTATTTGTAGTTAATGATAATAATATATTGTTGTCTAAAAAATCAAACAACAATAAGTCAATGAGAGATGAAATTGAAAAAAAATTATTTGCTCTAATTTCTTCTTATATTAAAAACTAACTTTTTATTTTTTAATTTCATTTTATATTAAGGACGGAAGAGAATATGTTGTAATAAAACAATTAAAAATTTTAAACATTTTACTGCATCCCTAGCAAAAGTTGTTACATTCTAATTAAGTGTCTGTTAACTTGAACCATGAACATGCCACTTGATTGGCCGTACATGGCTTTCAAAAGCTACTGAAACATAAAGAAACAGAAAATTGGGGTCTCTTTACTTTTTTTTCTATCTTTACTATTTATTAATTTTATCATTTAAAAATTATTTAATAAAATAATTTAAATAATGAGGATTAAAAAAATATGGGGATTGAGAAAATAAAAAAAAATGAAGAGAGCTCTCTCTCAAAAACACAGGCGTTTGCCCAACGCGAAGCAGAAAAAGGACAATGAATACAAGAGCCCCAGAAATTAATGTTCCAATACGTTTGGACAGCATCCATAATCGGCCATTTGGCACATTCACCAAATATCCGTAGCATTTTCTGTGTGTGATAAGCCCCTTGCAATATTTTTACCACCAAGTCTAAATGTTGGATATTATCTATTTACCACGTCAACATATTCTTAATTTCTTATAAATTAACCTACACTAGCTACCCCATAACTATATTTGGCTATTTCACTAGCCTTTTTTTTTTTTTTTGGTTAAACGCGGCATGGGGAGGGGAAATTAAAAGCTACTTAAAATATGGGGCACTAATACTAATTTTTACATTTTTTTAAAAGTAAGATAAAAAATTCAAAGGACCAATGAAATTGGGAGGAGCACCCCCTTGCGTGCGTGGCTGCTTATCGCCCACCGGTTAAACATCGTAACTTGATTATTCTTAACTTTAATTCTATGATTGAACATAACTTGATTATTCTTAGTTACCCCCTAGAATCGAACATAACCCATCACATTCATAACTTTAATTATATGGCCAGAGAAAAATATATAGTTAGGGTCGATAATTAACATAAGAGATCTTCTAATAAAATAGACATTGTGGGTGGCTGCGCTTTTAAATAATCTTAATATATATTTTATGTGTGGGCGTAATATTGATGGTCATATGAATATACTATTATTCTATGATTCTTACCTTCAACTTTACCATTCATACACTAAAATGAGTAAGAGTGAATACATTGTTAAGTTCATTGTTTTTTTTTTTAAAAAAATATTTGACTTAGATTTAAATTTTAATTGCATGTAATCGCATTTATTTATTTTATAACGATGATTATTTCAAGTGGAAAAAAATCATAAGAATTTGTTAATTTGAGGTAAGTATCTCACATGCAACGCAAGAAAGTTAACTCTGATTTATCCATAAAATACAAACTCAATTTTACAAACCGGACGGTAACGAGGGGTGTACTCTCACCACTTTTAATTATAGAAGCCTCTTTTTGCAAGTTTGATTTGTTGATTTTTTACAGGACCCATTTTTAATTTATCTGCTACATTTATTATTTTTTTAAAAAATAAAAAATTTCCTCTTAAAAGAGTTGCTCTGGCAATAATTAATTAGGAAAGAGAGGTAAGGATTCAACTGCATCCATACCAAGTACACCCTTCTATTATTAATATGCTACTTGTTTTCAGTTAAAATTAAGACACCTAAATTTTTTATAAATTATTTATTTTAAAAAAATCTCTTTTTATTAATATTATTAATATTTTAAAATTTATTTATGTTGATTTAATTGAATAAAAATATATTAAATATATAAAATTAAATATCAAAATATTTCCCTTTAAAATATTAATCATTAGAGAAAAATATAATGCAATTAAAAAAAAACCTCAAAACACTTTTGAGGTTAAGAAGCAGATGAAAAGGGAGAAAACAGAGAGGAATTGGATATGAATGATTGAGAAAGGTGATTTATGAAGGGAGAAAAAAGGGCGATGAGTATAAGGGGATGGGAATGGAACATGCAGGAGAGAGAGGGAGGGGGGGTAGGTGTGAGAATGAACGAACGACCTCGTCGCGCACACAACGCACCACACTTTCTTCGAGCACTCGCTGTGCTTCCTCGTCTCCACTTAAGCTTCGAACTATATATATACCTCTCCGCTCCTCTCTCCTCTCAGCTTGACGTTCCCTTCTCCGAGAGAACACCAAGCTTCCCTCCTCTCTCTCCTTCCTTTTCTCTTTTCATTTCTCCTTCGACATGCAGTCTCTCTCCTCTCACCCTTCCCATTCTCTCAACTACCTCTCCCATACCCGCACCTCCGCTTATCGGGCTGCTCCGACCCGCTTCTCCGTCAACTGCGCTTATGGCTTCGATTCCGGCGGATTGTGTTCCGGTTTCGCCTCCCGGGCTGACTGGCAGAGTTCCTGCGCCATCTTAGCTAGTAAGGTCGTCTCTCAGGAGCAGTCCTCCACCGATGCCAACGGTGGCACTGCCGACCACGTCGCCGCCATCAACGGCCATAAGGCCGCCGTAACGGATCTCAACCTTGTCCACATCGGTAATTTAGAAGGTAGCGACGCTAATAAGCCGCTCCCGCCAAAGCCGCTCACTATTTCGGATCTCTCCCCCGCTCCGATGCATGGCTCGCAGCTCCGCGTGGCTTACCAGGGCGTTCCCGGAGCATACTCCGAAGCGGCTGCCGGCAAGGCCTATCCGAACTGTGAAGCCATTCCTTGTGACCAGTTTGAGGTGGCCTTCCAGGCTGTGCAGCTCTGGATCGCCGATCGAGCGGTTCTCCCTGTGGAAAACTCCCTTGGCGGCTCGATCCACCGGAACTACGACCTCCTCCTCCGCCACCAGCTCCATATCGTCGGGGAGGTCCAGCTTCCCGTGCACCACTGCCTTCTCGCGCTCCCGGGTGTTCGGAAAGAATATCTAACCCGCGTCATCTCGCACCCGCAAGCCCTCGCCCAGTGCGAGCACTCGCTAACCAAATTCGGCCTCAACGTGGCACGTGAGGCCGTGGACGACACCGCCGGTGCGGCGGAATTCATCGCAACCAACAACCTACGCGACACGGCGGCAATTGCTAGCGCACGCGCGGCGGAGCTGTACGGATTGCAGGTCTTGGCAGATGGGATCCAGGACGACCCGAGTAACGTGACCCGATTCGTGATGCTGGCCCGGGAACCCATAATTCCGCGCACGGACCGGCCCTTCAAGACAAGCATAGTCTTCGCTCACGATAAGGGGACGTCGGTACTGTTCAAGGTTCTATCGGCCTTCGCTTTCAGGAACATTAGCTTGACGAAGATCGAGTCAAGACCTCACCGGAGCCGCCCGATTAGGGTGGTGGACGATGCGAATGTGGGGACGGCGAAGCACTTCGAGTATATGTTCTACGTTGATTTCGAAGCTTCCATGGCAGAGGTCAGGGCGCAGAATGCCTTGGCAGAGGTTCAGGAATTCACTTCCTTCCTGAGGGTGTTGGGGAGCTATCCCATGGACATGACTCCATGGAGCCCCTCTTCTTCCTCTTGTCCCAGGGGAGATTAGCAACATCTCTCTGCACGCCACAAATTCCCCAGAAATTAAAGAATATAAAAATATTTCATATATCTCGCAATCTGTGAAAGATTAAAACAAAGGGGAGATTATTTCGACTCTCTTCCACATATTTCAATTTGTTACCCCGTACATGTTTCTTGGATTCACTTAATTAATTTAATCATGAAGAAAATTGCGAAATTCAAGTTTAGCGACCTTGAAAGGGATCAAAATTAAGGAGTGGGGGATATGCCAAAAGGTTGGGTTGGTGAGGATTAAAAACACTTGCCTTGTACATAGAAAGAGAGAGCGTGAGGTGGTAGATTTTGGTCAAAATGTGGTAGGTGGCCACCATGCTGACAATTCAGGGGAAGGAAACGGCCCCGTTAAGTGTATCTTGGTATGTGTGAGAATATTTTATGTTTGAGGATCAAAAAAGTGTACATGAGAGTGGATCAGTAGATAGAGTCGGTTACTTTATTCTTGGTATTTTTATTCTTCTACTCAATCATGTATTTTCCGACCAAAGCGTGTGTACATACATGATACTGAGTTATATGTTTGTTTTTAAATTAAAGTTTCATTTAGTTCTTCTCTCCTTTTAACGTTGCCGTCTGTCTCTGTCACTACTCTTTCATTTTAAAAAAAAAAAATAGTAGCATTGAGGAGCAATAACATATTCAATGGGGGAAAGCTAGTTTGAGAATGATCACTAATTCAATTTAGGCGCCGAACTGCGTCATTAAGGATTGGCAGGCGTCATCTGGTTGTTGTGTGTATTTAATGACATCATGTTTGATTAATTAGCAATATGGCCAATAGGTGGAAGAGGATGAGAAGGGAAGCGTTTTTTATTTTGTTTTGTTTTGTTTTTTTTTTTTTTTTTTTGTGGTGGGGGTGGGCTTTCTAAACCAAAATAGCTTGAATTCCACGAGGTCTGGCACGTAGTAGAAAAAAACACAGACCAACTTATATGAAAGCTACATGTACACTTGTAAACTGTGGAAATGTCAAGTGTATAATCTATTCAATATAGCTGAAGGTTCTTTGCTTCAAGATAGAAGGCTCAAGGATGAAGGTTTTCTCACCAACTCAAAGTCAATAATAATTGCCAGGCAAGTCAAATCTTGAAATTTTCACAAATCGAGACTACGTGTTCCAAGGCCTGGTCCTTGTTTCTTAGTTGCACCAACCCTTTTTTTAACTTTTTTATGAGGGCGAATGACGTTTAGATCTTGACAAAAATTTTGTTAAATAATTTACAGACATTAATTTAAATATATGCAAATGAAAATATCAATTGTAAGTTAAGAGTTATACTTAAACGTAAATGACTTATTTATAATTGAAACCTCTAAATTTGTAATTGTATGATTTTTTTTATTTTCAATTGTTTTTATAATTAAATTGACATTCTAAGCCTAATTGTTATTCTCCCTTTTTTATACCCTCGTACTTCAAACCAGTTGAATACAACATATTCTTTAAAATTCCTCCTGTTCTTCACTCTTTTTTTTTTTTAGCCAAACCTGTTCTTCTTTGCTCTGCTTCTGGAGTCTTATAAAGAGTGTTAATCAGATTCAATTTGTCCGGTTTTCATGAAGTATTTTGCTGGACGTTACAGGCTGTATATAATTTCAGGCGTGTCTTAATTGGCAACGTTGAACAGTAATTTAAGATCTTTCTGCTTAACATGTTAATTTAAAGTGATCAAACTTTACATGAATTCAAAGTATCTCACTATATATGTCTCATTCATGACTGATTTGAAATTTCTGAGTGTCTTCACGCAGGCAAAACAAAATATAAAGGCTCATAATGGTTAGTCTACCATCCCATAATTTGTAGAAGTGAATGGGAAATAACAAAGCTGTGCACAAAGCATGGCAATCCGAGCAGCGATGAATGATATGGGTACATTCGATTTCATGGGAAAAAAATAGTGCTCAAGAAGAGCATGCATGTAATATACTAATATAGACATATAACAAAGCATGATACATTAACCGATTGCAAAACTGTGACAATTTTAGTGTTCACTTTACTTTCTTTTTTTGTCTCTCCCTTTAAAAAAAAAAAAAGATATGTAATAATGGCAAAGACGATGAAGGTTTTGACGAAGTTACTAATTAGTATGTTTAGAAAAAAAGTGAAGGTGATGATTAAGCAAGCATTATAGCGTGTGATGGAAGATAATTATGTTAAGGTGGGGGAAGAGAAAGAGAGGGAGAGAGGAGAGGAGAGAGAGGGTTTGGTGAGGAATGGAAGAGCGTGAAAATGAGAAGTGGTGTGGTGTGGTAGGTAATGTAAGATACTCCTTCCTTCTTTGCATATAAAATATTTTTAATTGAATCATATCAATCAGTAAAAATTAATTATTTAATTTAAAACACAGCAATGTTTTTAATTTTTTAATTATTATAAATAAAAAATAAATCTCTTTTTTCAAAGCAAATTAATAAAATATTTTTTTTAATTTAATAAGGATATAATGTTTTATTCATTAAAAATTATGCTAACAATTTTTTACATTTAAGGACAAAAAAAGGTTCTAAATTTTTTTTATATATAGGGATTATTTTGGATACTATACAAAAGGGGGGAAAATATTATTTAGGATTTTTTTAATTAAAAATATAGTCAATGAAAAACTGCACTATTTAATTTACATTTAAATTATTTTTATTTTTTAACATTTAAAATTTTTTATGTTAAAGGAAGAGTAGTTCTTATAGTATACATTTAAAAAATTGTAAATTCTTTATGTTTAAATAAAGAATCGATCGAATTATTCGATCAGGAAGATTCAAGCAGTACCAGATATCGTGTTTTCAATAAATCATATTTCATTTGTTTCCCGAAAAAAGTGATGCAGACAAATAGCTAATGTAACAAATTGCCCCATTTTTATTCTTTTTGTTTTAAGATTGGCATGTGGTGTGATAGAAAACTAAAAGTCAAAATTATCATCAACATGTAAGTTCTTGATTTATCAGTGGATGAAATCTAATAAATATTATATTCACACACACCTGTATCGTTGAAAATTTTCAGTGCACACAGGGAGGGAGATATTTTATGCGTGGATGAGAGTGGTTGTTGAGGAGGATTAATGTCAGAAATTTCTGTTTGGAAAAACCATTACATGACAAGTCTTGGGAGTTATCAAATGAACCTCTTTAATTTTTAAGATGTCACTTCGCTACAAGGCAAGCACTTGAATGTGTATGAGAAACATGATGGAAAGGAAGATGCTTCTTTCATGGAAATCGCATTGAAAAGCATCTTCTTCGCTTTCTCAGTCCATTTCCTGGAAGATGCCATCTTCTTCCCTTTCACACTAATATTCTTATAGTTCTCAAATCTCATGCACTAGGCTCTAACAAATATTTGATTCAAGGCGGAAAAGGGGAAGTAGAATGGGTGGTGAGGATTGAGGAGTAGTTAAGTTGGGAGGCATGAAGTGTGGGGCCCACGAATAATGATGACGAGGATAATTTCGGAGTTCTAAACAAGGTTGAGGTGGTTGTAAAGAAGCATCTTGAAATGGAAAAGACGTCACCGTGTCAGCAAGATGCCGATGCGAACCATTTTCTGGATTAATTGATAAGAAAACGTAATGAACATAATTAACGCACCATGTGAGGTTTAAACCACAAAGCCCAAGTCGATGACGGACAATATATACAAGCTGACAAAAGCATGAAGCATACCCGCGTGGTGGTCCCTCTTTGCGCGGGAAACTAAACGTGGGTCGGTGGGGATATGACTCATGTCATGTGAGCAACAGAAAGAAGGAGGCCCACAAAAGAGTGGTCCAGAGAATCTCATGAGATCGTCCGTTACGTGTAACGTTGGGTATGAAGACAACCTTAAGAGGGCCTCCATCTCTCTGATGACTTGCCAGGTCAAAGCCCGTGTCCACTACATGTCCTCCTCTCCTTTCATTGGGATTTCTCGTGTCTCAGAAAACTTTGCAAGCCCAAAATTAAAAGTCACATTGGCCAGTCCAAACGATCAAAACAAAAAGCCATGGATCATGTCCTTTTTTATTTCATGATTGGGAGTGAGTAGAGAGGGATATTAAAAAAGGTGTTGTAAAAATAAATCTACTTGGCATCATTTAATTGCAGCGCTAGAGATGCGTAATATAAAACTAAGTACACAAGCAACTTCTTTTTCCAAACATCTTCGAGATATCTCATTCGGGAAAAGAACTTGTATATATGGTGTATTTTTTCCCACCCAAAATAAACCAAGTTGATTTTTTACTCAGGTTTGCTATACTTTTAACTTATTTTGAAACTTAACGTTAAATTAATTTAATTAAAGATGAATGGATGCACTAAATTTGTCCTCCATGCCACAACACCAAACAAAGGCCAAAAATTTGTTTTCAGCAATGAATGAAAACCCACTAGGCCTAGTTGATTAACATTGTAAAGATTTCGGTGGTAGAAGGGGTGGATAAAGTTGTTTGGTTGGGAAGCAAAGATGGTGTTTATTCAGTAAAGATGGGCTATAAGTCTACTATGGAGTTGTTGACAGTACCTAATATTACGAGGCCTGATTCTTCTTATAAGCCCACTGGACAATTGTGAAAAGGTATGTGAAGTATTAAAGTACCTCCAAAAATCTCTCATTTTATTTAGAGGGTTGCTAGTGGTGCTCTTGCTACCAAGAAGGCTCTCTTTAGAAGAAAATGAGCTAAAAGCTCAATTTGCAATATTTGCAATGTGCATGAGGAGAAAATTGAGCATGTTCTATTTTTGTGTCCTTGGACAAGGATGGTCTGGTTTGGCTCACTATTGGCACTGAAATTTAGCAAAAACCATGTCTATAGATTTGATAAATGGCTTAAAGATTATCTAATGTCGAGTTTTGGTGCTAATAATCATGCAATAACATTAATTTCAACTTTTTGTTTGGATAAGCAAAAGTTGAAGCTGTTTGCTAAAGTCAGCAATGAGAGAGCACTGTCTTGGTGTGGGATCAATAAAAATTAATATTGATGGGGCTTTTTGTGTTAAGAGTGGTAGAGCAGCCATTGGTGTGGTTGGGATGGATTGTAATGAATGTTTTTTGAGTGGTATTGAAAAGGTGGTTGAGGCTTAGACTGCTATTCAGGCTGAATGTTTGGCTATGTTAGAAGCGTTGGGGATGAAAGATTTGTTTAGCAATGGCCTTATGATTTTTGAAACTGGTTGTGAAGAACTTTATAGGAAGCTATTGCATCAGGATGTGAAGGGGTGTGACTAGAGGTGTTGGGATGTGTTGGATCAATATTTTTTGCAATGGAGATTTGTTGTGGGTTGTGATCTATCTTTAGTTTCAAGGATGGGCAATTATGTTGCTGATTGGATTGCAGCACATTCTATGAGAGGTATGGTATCGGAAGGATGGCTGTACAAGCCACCAGCTTCTCTATTTGTTATTTTGCAGGATGATCTTCATAGCAGAAATGTTGAAGCATGAAAGAAAAAAGGGATGGGTTGATTGTTTAAGTATTGGGTAGGGTAGGTTGTATTTGTTTGTTGTTGATTTCTATTTTGTTTAGTTTGTATATGTAGGTTTATTGCTTTCCTTGTTTCTTTTATAGGTGGAC